CCCGCAGGTGATGGAGATTTACCGCAACCGGCTTTACCGGCTTTCTGACAAGATGCGCGTTAAATATGTGATTTATTGTGCAGCCCTACTCCAAAACTGCGCAGAGCTGATTACAGAACCGGCTTTCTGACAAGATGCGCGTTAAATATGTGATTTATTGTGCAGCCCTACTCCAAACGAATCTCTACTGCGCAGACTCTGGCTCCAAATGACGTCATTTACTCAAGATGGCAGTGGCTATACTGAGATGCTTTGGCTTCACTTTTCTATAGTGGAAGGAGGTAGAGACGCGTCGTTCATCTTTTTTTTATAGTCTATGATATTTTCCCTGAAGTCCTTTTGCTACCATACTTTTAAGCCTTTTCGAGATGTAAAAGACCTCTGTAATGATTACCTAACCTTCAGTGTGTATTAACATAGTAAATAGGTCCGTTTTTATTTTCATGTTGACTTGAAAGAAGAAAGGATGAACGTTAAGACTGTTTTGTCTGTATTCTCCATGTTGTGTCTGACGTGAGAGGGTGGTAGAGTCCGATATGTTAACATTCATTGAAGCACAGCAAGCTTATCTCAGTTCAGCTACAGTCTGTTACTAGTCCTGTTAGCAAACACAGCAGACACAGTCTCAGCATCGCGTATGTACATGCACCAGTGATTCCCAGCCTGCCCTAATAGATACCACAGCCACTGGTGTCAATAAAAGCGCAAACCCTGTGTGGCCTGTTGTGATTCCTCAGCAACACTTTGCAGCGGTGTTTAGATTCATAAAGAATGGAGAGATTGAGGGCTGCGGGGAGTGAAGGGGGGTTGAGGGTCAAAGGTCAGTGTCAGGAGATGTGCCAGCTGCATTAGTCCCCCGAGAGAGAGCTCAGGGACAGGGGGGTTGTGGGGAAATGAGGATGAATGAATGGAAACCTCTTATGGAGGTGTTTCAAGGGAATTGTTAGGCATCTTCTGTTGTTTAAGAGTGATGAAGGTGGTGAGAGACCATAGACTTTGCCACCTGTGTCTCTGACGATGGTGTTTTTCATTGTCCCATAGTAAGAAGACAAAGGAGAACACGTATGGCTCTGCGGAGACACATACAGGTAAAACAATCGCTTTTAATGAACTGGTTGAAACATTTAAAGGAATAATTCTCAAAACCTTTTAGAAACACCAAAGCTGTTAAAAACATATGACTTGTTTCTTCAGTGGAACACAAAGCAAGATGTTTACAAAAATGTTCAAACTGCACTTTTTTTATACAACGAGAATAGATAGAGAGCAGTGGTGCCGAAAACAAGATCTTCTGAAGTTATTTGATAACTTTATGAAAAAAAAGTGGTAACACAAAGCATTTATGTATGATACATTATAAAGGGTTACTAAAGGGTACAATACATTGTGATTATTCATGTTGTGCATTGTAATACATTATATCTGGTTGTAAATAATTAATAATTAAAGTGCATAGTGTGACAATGAATTGATAAGTGTTATAATGTATTAACTGTGGTTACAATTATTGATGAGATAGCACAATGCATTATAAGGTGCATTGTAGGGTTGTGACGGTGAGGAAATTTTCCCACCGGTTAATCGACGTGTGACAACATCGGTAATACCGGTATCACCGCGGGGGCGTTCCCTCTTTTCCTCGCTTTCCTTCGCTTTTAAATAGCTTGTATTTTTAATTGTAGTGTCTGTTCTTTTACTGAACTAAATTATTTTTATTTCTATAAAAAATCTAAACGACGGTGGGGGTCGGTGCCGCGGTGGGTAAGTGACATAACCGGTGTTGCAGCTTAACACCGGTATCACCGTCAGCACCGTCTATCGCGGCAAGCCTAGTGCATTGCAAGGCATAATTAATGCATTAAATCTACTTGTATAGTGCATTATACATAAAGGCTTTAAGTAAAGTGTTACCAAAAAAGTTATTCATAAATGATAAAGTTAGTTTCATATACAAAGCTATTACATGGCTTAAGAAGGACAAAACTGAGTGGAAAACAGCATCTTTGATGAAAAAAGAAGTTTTGTTTGAAGAATGTTTGGAAGAACATTTAAGCTTTTTTAACATTTAAATGTGTCCTTCTAAAGCCATATGATAGCTTTGTATATGAAACGGATATCGTTTGTTGTTATCATTTATGAATAATGACTTCATTTTTGGTTGGTTTTCATGTAAAGCTATCAGATAACTTAGCATTGGAGTTGCTTTTATGATGCTTTTGTTTTTGGTGCTACTGTTCTCCATTTTTTCATTGTTCGCTTGAACATTTTTGTAAATATCTTGTTTTGTGTTCTATTGATTAAATGAGTCCTACAGATTTAGGACAGGGTGAGTAAATGACAACAAAATGTTCATTTTTTTGGGTAAACTTTTTCATTGCTTTTAGGACGACATCAAATCCTTAAAATAATTGAATGCACACATTTGGATGAATAAAACATGACTTCACCATATCTGAATGATCTGAATGAATTTTTTTTACCTTTATCATTCACCAAGTCTGCACAAAATATTTTTAGTCTTCATGACATATCCCTTCTTCCAAATATACGTAGTGTTTTGCCCTTTCAGACATGTATAATTTAAGGCTCACACACAGATAAAACCATCTTTCACAGACTGGCTGACAGTTGAATGATTCTTGTCTACAGGCTGTTGGTGGCAGATAAAAAAGCCGTTTGCCAGGCACCAGTCCACAGAGTTCACCATCAAATACAGCTCTGAGAAAGACCCCATCCAGAAGCTGGACCTGGTAACCAGTGCAATGGCAGGTAAAGATTGACCAAAAATTCGGCTACAAGGATTTTTGCCACCCAGTGCTGAAGAACCGGCTGGAAAAATCTTAACATGTTAAAGAAATTATTACTTTTACTCAGCAAGTAGGCATTAATTTGGTCAAAAGTGACAGTAAAGGCATGTATAATGTTGTAATAGATTTCTATTTCAAATAAATGCCTTGAATTTCTATTCATCAAAGAAAAAAATATCACTTTTTCCACAAAAGTATGAAGCAGCACAACTGTTTTCAATATTAAAACTTTAAACTTTAATTTAAAATTGTTTTTTTAAATATAAATAGTTATTTTAAATTGTATTAATATTTCACAATATTACTATTTTTATATAAATAAATGTAGCCTTGATAAGCGTAAAAGACTTCTTTCAAAAACATTCAAACAAATTACTGACCCCAAACTTTTAATATAATACAGTGCTGAAGAACCGGCTGGAAAAATCTTAACATGTTAAATAAGTTGCAAAATAAACCAGCATAAACCATCACTAAAATCTGACCATGCAAGATGGCAAAGATTGGAGTAATGATGCTGAAAATTCAGCTTTACAAAACAGAAATTACATTTTTACAATATATTGCAACCAAAAATATTTATTTTAAATTGTAATAATATTTCACAATATTTCTATTTTTATTGTATTTTTATATAAATAAATGTAGCCTTGATAAGCGTAAAAGACTTCTTTCAAAAACATTCAAACAAATTACTTACCCCAAACTTTTAATATAATAATCCAAAGCAACAAAACTTTTGAGCTGGTAGCATGCACTTAACATTGAAGAGATGTGATTTATCGCTTTGTTTTAGGACAAAGTGGTTAGGACATTGTGTTCATGTGGAAATATGGATTTAAAGCCAGAGCGTTTCATTTTTGTGACTGCAACTAAAGTCAGAGAGGGGAGTTTTTTTATTGTCTGATAAAGGGGTTCAACTTGTAAGGCAATTTATGGTCCTTCAGTGAGCTGAAGAAGGAAAATAACTTTTTGAAATTGTTGTAGCAGCCTGAAAGCTTGCCAGATGAAAACGCCTGCTAAAATTTAATTGCCACTTTTCCCCCTACACTCCTCCAGGGCTGTAATTATTGATGATTCAAGGTTTGTGCAAGACGTCAGACAGATTACAGGGAGTCCGATTTCAAGCCCGCTGCTTGACTTGAAGCCCCTTCGAGCAAATACTGAAAATTTTTCATTGAATTAATTCTTGCTGAAACAATTTGTCTATATTTTGTTTTTTATTACCGTGTCAGTCGTTACTCTTTTAGGCTGTCAGGAACGTGCGTGAAAATGAACTATAGTACTGTATGTCATTCATTTTTGATGGCTTTAGAGTTTATGGTCACAGATTTATGAACATGGCTTGCTTAGTTAGCCAGGTAGGTTTCAGTATGGCTTGGCATAAACAATTTCTTCCTTGGAGTACAAAAGAAGATATTTTGAAGAATGTTTAAATCGTTTTGACACCAAAACAACACTGGACTCCATTGAGTTTCACTGTGTGGACCAACAAATAGTGTTGTTATTATTTACTAAAACGAGTGTGTTTTTTTTTATTTTTTAGGATCATTTATGTGTCATTATATTTTTTTATTAATATTGTGAATTAGATTTCGTTTTAATATTTTCTGTTTTTTTTTAATGTATAACTGTATATGCTGTATATGTATATAATGTATATGTCTGCATAGTTTAAGCTCTGGTTTTAGTATCAATTATTTTATTTCCTAAACTTATTTTATTTCAGCAATATTTCTCATTTTCATATAAAGTTTAAGGTTTTTATATTTTATTTCAGTTAATGTTTTTTTTAAGTAATGATTATTTTTGCTTTAGTTTTAGTTAACGATAATAAGCCCTTACTAAAATTATTAAAAATAGTTTTCTGTAATTAAAATAGAGCTGAAATAATATAATTAATTAGATCTTAAATCCTAATAATTCAGTATAAATAATTCAATCTTTTTTGCCTACTAAATACTTAACTAACTGAAATAAAATTTGAAGTACTAAAACTACTAAAATTGATAATCATAAAAATAAGATAATAAAAATTAAAGCTATATAGAAATAAAAAAAAAATCTGAAAGAAATTACAAAAGCACACAACAAAATTGCTAAAACTTAAAAACTGAAAATATAAAACTAATCAAATTCAAAATATTAATAAATACTATAATGCTAAAATAACACTGACAGTTAGGGATGTAATGATTAACTGCGAGCCGGTTGAAAATCGATTCAAATTTGTGACGATTCAAAATCGTGAATCGAATCGAATCGTGAGTTGAGTGAATCGTTACATCCCTACTGACAGTAAAGATTAGGGGCATTTTTTAGAAAAACTATTATGAAGTTACTAACTATTTCCTTTTTCTTTTTCTTCAGCTGAGTACCAGCAGCCTCTCATGCTTGGCACAGACACGGTGTCCCGAAAAGGCTCGACGTTCAGACCCATGGACACTGAGGACAAAGACATCGAGGCTACTTCTCACTACGACCACCTGCAGACGGGCATCCAGTACGCCCTGCCACTGACCAATCAGGAGCCAGAGTACGCCACGCCCATCATCGAGCGCCACGCCTTCCGCAAAGATCCCTTCCTTCCGGATCCCAGCTACAGCGTCCCAGGCGTGGTACTAAACAAAAGCCCGTCGTTTCGAGCGGTGGAGGGCAGTAACTGTAGGAAAGTGATCGGAGGGCTTGCCGGGGGCTACCAGACGCCCCACGTCAAAACGGACAGGGGGAATTACCCAGAGGACATCTACGACAGCCCTAAAATCCTGAAACCCGTCGTGCAGAACGGGAGTTGCTCAGAGTACCAGAGAACCCAGATCAAATCCCCAGTTCAAGAGTGCTATTCCACTCCCAGAGACTGTGTCAGACTGCCTTTCTCCGGACTCAGACCGGACCCGGAGGGCAGCAGCTCCGAAGGAAGCTGAGAAGAACCACACTGTGATGTGCCTGATTTACCTGACTCAACAAAACCACCTCCAGACTCTTTAACTTATTTGTGCATGAGGGACAACTTGTTTTTGCATTTTTGCGGAGGCTGTAACGGATGCCATCAGTTTTGTGTAATTTAACGATTTTTTTTTTTTTTGTATATATGATGTATTTTGTCTTGACATATCAAGATTATAATTGTCCTGTTTGTTCCCCGTTCATTCCCTACGGACACAAACTGCGAATTCGAGCCAGATTTTCATGTATTCTACAATGTGACCATCATCTCAATTTTGTCAGACTCTGCTTTGAACATCCCTAAAGGGCAATTTCACTGATTTTTCAACCAGCTTTGTTTTAAGGTGTCATTAGTAATATGTATATGCACAATGTATACTCTTTCTCCGTTCATTTGTCAGCAAAAGACGTTTGACAGCCAGGTGATGTGTTTTGCACAATCTAACAGACTTTTGTTGACATAAACTGGTGTATTTGGGTGCAGGTAACATGGAGAAAGACTATACATTGTTCATTTCGATATACTACTGACATTTTAACAATACAAAGCTGGTTGAAAATCGGAAAAGTCTCTTTTAACCTAGGGCTTCGAAAAAAAAAAAAAAACATATTTCAGGAAGCAGATCAAAAGATCTCCTGTTGGAAGAAGGAGATGTTTTGGAACTGGAGTAAGGCAAGTTCCTGAGCAGTTACTTTGGTCCGTCTCCTTTAGGACCAAGAACCATTCCATGTTCATGTCCCTACACCAATCAAAACACATGAAATGACGTGAAAAACACCATTAAAATAGCCTAACACCATCCAAACGGGAAGCAAGCTGTGTGTCGATGCAACAAAATTAGCTTGATCCTATAATGCAAGCAAAATGATATCTCAAAGGTTTTTGATCTTTCTTTCATGCTGAATATTTTTGTGTTCACTTTGTTGTTTTAGACTCCCCTTGTTCCATGTGAAAACTGGCTGTTTAAAGCAATAACAGACTAAAAATTAGTCTTATTTCATACTGTCTTTATTTGGATTGCCTATAGGAGTATACATATGTATGTACAGTTTTGAAATGTATATTTAGTTAAAAAAACAAAAAGAGATGTTACTTTGTGCTGTCGATGATTATTTAAAGGGATAGTTCACTCAACAATTGTTGTTTATTCATTCTCATTTAATTCCAAACCCATATGTGACCCTGGAGCACAAAACCAGTCATAAGTAGCACGGGTATATTTGTAGCAATAGCCAAAAATACATTGTATGAGTCAAAATTATAGATTTTTCTTTTATGACAAAAATCATTAGGATATTAAGTAAAGATCATGTTCCATGAAGATATTTTGTAAATTTCCTACCGTAAATATATCAAAACTTAATTTTTGATTAATAATATGCATTGCTGAGGACTTCATTTGAACAACTTTAAAGGCAATTTTCTCAATATTTTGATTTTTGTGCACCCTCAGATTCCAGATTTTCAAATAGTTGAATCTCAGCAAAATATTGTCCTATCCTAACAAACCATACATCAATGGAAAGCTTATTTATTCAGCTTTCAGATGATGTATAAATCTCAAGTTTGAAAAATTGACCCTTAAGACTGGATTTGTGGTCCGGGGTCACATATGACTTATTTTCTTCTGTGGAACATGAGAAGAAATTATAAATTGTGTATGAAAGTGAGAGGCTGTCAAGCTCAAAAATGGAGAAGAGAAAAAAAAAAAAAGTTCAAAATGTCATTTTTTAAATTTCAACATTTCTTTGTGTTTCACGGAAGAGATAACTTCATACTGGTTTGGAGTGAATGATGAAGGTATTTTTGTTTTTACGTGGATTATCCCTTTAAGCATCCAGAAGATCTGTGAGTTGCTGCTGTTTAAGGGACAATCCCTGTTAAAGATTACTGACAGGTCTTAATTTCTGTGAAATGTTTTGGGGGATGTGCTGCTGATGGTTCATGTTTGATATGCCCGTGAGGATCTGGTCATGCTGGTGTGTTGAACTGCTTTGCCACTGAGAATCTCAGTGCTGTGTTTGTGCTTGTCTAAACCCTGATTAAAAGCACCAGTTGTTCAACCCGTCCTGTGATGGTCGCTTTGCTTTAAAAAATGTGAATAATCGGCATGATTACGTAAGTATTTGGTGAAAGCAGGATGTCACACATGAGGTGTCTCTGTGGGACAGTGATCAGGAATGTAACGGTGGGGTGTTAGTTATGGGGCAGCAGCTGATGGTGACCCTGCTGTTTAAATCTACCGTTCAGGCGCCCTGTATCACATTTCCCACCCAAAGTATGCAACATTAAAGAACAGCAGTGAATCTCTGGCCCAACCGACTGCCACAAATGTGACCCTGGAGCACAAAACCAGTCTTAAATCGCTGGGGTATATTTGTAGCAATAGCCAACAATACATTGCATGGGCCAAAATTATCGATTTTTATTTTATGTCAAAAATCATTAGGATATTAAGTAAAGATCATGTTCCATGAAGATATTTTGTAAATTCCCTGCCCTAAATATATCAAAACTTAATTTTTGATTAGTAATATGCATTGCTAAGAACTTCATTTGGACAACTTTAAATGCAATTTTCTCAATATTTAGATTTTTGTGCACCCCGATTCCAGATTTTCAAATAGTTGTATCTCAGACAAATATTGCCCTGTCCAAACAAACCATACAGCAATGGAAAGCTTATTTATTTAGCTTTCGGATGATGTACAAATCCCAGTTTCAAAAAATTGACCCTTATAATTGGTTTTGTGGTCCAGGGTCACAAATGTTTATGAGTCCGTGTGTAACCAATTCTGGTATATGTGCAAAAAATGCAATCATACAGGAAGGAAGAATAGCATTTACCATAGGCTATTTTTAGGGTATAAAATATGGTAAAACGTAAAGCATGCAGACAAAGTTTGGTAACAATTAAATAACTAACAGACAATTCATCTGTCCGAGCTGCTGAATGGTGTTTAATGACTTATGTGTTGTCAAACATTAAGAAAAAGGTAATGTCATAAACTTAAAAGGTTCGTGAAACAGCTTTGTGTTTTAGTGTGTGTGGGAGGTCTTTGTGGGAAGCCGAACTTTGTGTGGGCTGTTAGTTCATGCCAGGGTGCGTTCCCGTCCACACCTGCGCGTTAAATAACGAATCCAGCTAGATTATGAATATTAACACGTTGCTTTCAATACCTTCATGAAGAGCCAAGTCATATATTAAAATAAAAATTAATAAATAAAAGTTAACTTGCATTACAATCGTCTGCCTTTTAGCAAATGAGCTAAGCCGACTGGGCGAAGTACGTCATATTACGTAATTAATATTCATGAGCGCATCGCTTCTGCCGCAACTATTCTTTCTGGTGTTTTTTAGGGTTTATATTCTTAATTTAGTGTGTACTAAACTTTACACTGCCTTTTTTGTAGTATTGTCATCCAGACCTTCACTGAAGCCAATATGTGGAGGACCCAGCGTTACATGGCAGGGTACGTTAACGTTAACTTTCTCAGTGCTAGTCAGGATGGACAGGTGGAAGCACACTTTCGAGCAATGATGACAGGATATAGCATTTTATTTAATCATATTCTAGAGATAACAAAAGCAGATTTCCATTTGTACATCCTTGGAATTAATATATATATATATATATATAAATAATATGTCTCCATGAAGACAAAAACCTTCCTGAGATTTGAATTGTTTTAACCGTGTAAACCCTGGTGTTAAATAGGCTAATAGTCAGAATGAAACAGTTTATTAAAGTATCATATTTGATATATCACGCTTTGATGGCACATTTAGTATGACAGAAGATGAAGCTTAAAATCGAGGAGGAAAAATACCTTAATTTTATTCAGAGGCCGAAATAGGCTATGTTTAGTAAGATGTTATTTAAAGGCTTTTATGATCAAAGTGGGGGCAAAACATCTAATGCAATGTAATGCAATTATGATTGAGAGATTAACAAAAACGTTACTCAAAAACCTGACGTATGATGTTTAATACTCAAAAAAAGAAAAACTGTAAGGATTGTCAAGTAAACCGAAGTTGCCTCAGTCTAGGAAGTGTTCAATTTGAAATATTACCAACAATAGAAGTTATTCTTACGTTTATTTCAAATATTTCGCAGTAAAACACTAAAACGCCTTACACGTGTAAATTTTACTTATCACATAGTAGGCTTATACTGTATGTTTTGTATTTGTTCTGTCAAGCCGTACTTCCACCTCATGTTTAAATGAGTTACTGCAACTGCAGACTGTTAAACTATAATAAAGTCCTTTTATCAACACCACAACAAAACACGAAGCTCTGGGCAAATCAATTTAAGTTTATTGAAACATTTCATGTCATACAATAACTACAGGTGGAACATTTATTCCCAATCTCCCTATGACAAATCCTATGACACTGGAAAAACAGTTAACAGAAGAATAAATCACAAACCAGAAGGAAAAGGAAAAAATGAATTGGCTATAAAAAGGAAAAATGTTCCTCCACATTAAAGTTGCATCTGTGCGGTGCCATGCACTGGCAGTGTGGGAGGAATTTCATCTCACAAATCATCTCCTATATGAACTAATCAGTAACAAGAAAATATAAGCAACAACAGTCCACTGAACCAGCCCATATACTGATAAGAGTTCACCTTACGTTACGGCCAAAGGAGCTGATTGTCCCGACTGCCCTCATCTGCCTAACATCTACAAACACCTGTGACAATTACAGTGGGGTGTTAAATAGCAGATTAAGTGTGATATAAGCAAATAACTTATGAATATTTCATATTTACCACTCAAGCTATGCCTCCTTGCTGAAAAACCTGCTTAAACCAGTCTAATCGCTAACCACCAAGCTGTTTTTCTTTCAGCAGGGTAAAGCAATTGTTTAGGGAATGTTTTATTGCTATCCAGCCCAAATGTTTCATTTAAATATAGAGTAATCAACAAAGACATTCAGACTGGAGCATGAAATAGCAATAATGTGATAAACACCTTTCTGAAAATGCTAGTGAGAGAACAGTTTGAGAGAAAAGTGATATGTTCAATAACTCAATGGTAGTAAAGCAACACTGATGATTATAGGAACCTCTTCTGGTGATCAATACAGTAATGATCTTACAATTCACAGATTTTGAGGCACTACAGCCGACCCTACAGAGACTGAATTGGGCAAGGTAGTTGTTGAAAATCCTCATCCTAAATTTCTGTACACTTTTGTGTTTTTTCACAGAATATAAAGAGTAAAATGGCTTGGATCAAATACGCTATGCTACATTGCTGTGTAAAAATGCAAGTTCACTTCCCTAACAAGCTAATATCAGTATCTTTTCCAAAGACACTGTTAATACAGTAGGTTCAATGGCACTAGATGGACATTGTTCAGTAAAGATGTTTAAAAATACCTTGACAGGTATGTAAGGGTGGATATCATGAAAGCTGTCAAGAAATGTGTGGGTCACATCTCACCCTAAAATAAATCAAATTAAATAAAATTTAAAAATAAAAATTTACATTTAAAAATCATTGTGTTTAATTTTAGGAACAATAATTATTACTATTTTTTATTTTACATTGTGACATCATTGTCATGAAAAATATT